CTTCTGGCTGGACAGAAAGCAACGGCTTTTGTTGATACCGTCACTAGTCGTCTGGCAGCTCATCGCTCTGGAACTGCAGTGGGCGGAGAACGTCATGCGGCCTACTGGGATGGCATTTGTCGGGCCGCTCAACTCACTCAACAAAAACGCAACGAAATTGAACAAATTAAAGCTATGGCAGCTGGTTGGTTCTCGCATCGCTTTAATCCTATTCTCTTTTTCAAGAGTTGTGTTCAGAGTCATCAGATGCAGAGCTGCGAACAATGGCCGAAGAAGAGCGACAAGCCATCGAAGCATCTTTGGCTTCTGCAGAGCAAGATCTGGTGGACTCTATTGTACCTGTCACCGAGATAGACGTACTGCGGAAATGTCAAATTGAATTCACTAGGTTTGTCAATACCTTAAACCGCCGATGAGTGACTGATTAGTATTACACAAAAACGTTGTGCCACATTCGCGCGAACTTGGACCAGGAATCCTATGCACCAGTTGTTCTTGAGCATTCCGTTGTTTCCTGTATTGCGCGCAGTACCCGTCATTAGAGGCGAGGCGATTTTCGGATCAAACTGTGTTATGGCACTTGTAAATGACAGTGAGAATCTGAAGTGTACGTCAGTAACGAAAAAAATACGGGAAGAAACCGTCGATAAGGCCTTAAACAAAGTCCGCCTCTCCAGTAGTGGCGAAACGAAATAACACTGCTGTGTGAGGGGGGCCAATGCTGTATCCTAAGGAATTAGAACTTCAGCCTTGTCAAATCATCCCAACATTTGTGTGCATGTCCCGCTTGCGTACTGCACTTTTACTCGGGGAAGGGCTTAATTTTGAGTAGAAATCTCGAACCTTGCCTTCAAAGTGTTCCTCTTATTTAAAGGATTCTATGATTAGAGCGAAGGTCGAAGAATGGAAAACTTCTCTAGCGGAGAGACAGGCGGACCCTTAAGGGTGGGTACGGACAAACGCAATTTGCATTGAAGGAATATGCCCCGGCGATCTGGCATGGCCTTTCCCTTGGCGCAGTTGGCCCGGAACGCCCACCGACATAGCAGACAGAGCGTTAGCGTTGAAGAAGACACGATGAGCTGCACACGTAAGGAAATATGAAGTGTAAAAACGACGGTTGGTCGAACGTTTTACAGCAGATAGCACAGAATTATACTTACCATTGGAAGCTTAGCCTAAGAAAGTACTTGAAAGTGGAGCACTCTTTTCCAAGCCGAGTTCAGGTAAGGTACGCTTCAAGAACTAGGAACACTAATACTTCAAGTTACCGTGCCCAACTGTCCAAATGTTGGCGAAGATGCTTTTATTTGTTTCCTGAATTGCCGACACTGGAACTTACTCGGAGTGGAGAAGTCTTTTGGCCTTCTCAGCTTCTCTCTTGGCCATCCACGATTAGCCCTGTGCACACTTCCGAGTTGTGGAGGGACCTTTACACTTACAACCGGAGCCGATCCTTCTAAAACTCTTCCGCCATCTTTGTATGAATGGGAAATCGAATGACTTGCTCAAAAAGAATGCGTTCTTTGAGAATGTATCTCTTCAATCGTAGCACAGGGGACTAGTGAGCGCAAAAGCCAAGCTCTCTGCCTTTAGGTGTACTGAGAGTGTTATTCTATCATTAATTTCCAATGCCTATGTTTTGTGCGTTTGATTTTAAACGAGTAGGAAAAGCATTTCAGTGGTGCAGGTGGCCAAGAAGCAATGCTTTTCACCGGAGAGCTCGTTGATATGTACGCTAAATACGCGGAATGGCGAGGGTGGAAGTGGACTCCGCTCCAATTCCAGGACTCTGATATTGGTGGTGTGCGTACCGCCCTCTTCGCGGTGGAGGGTGAGAACGCTTACGCATCCTTAAGGTATAGCACTTTGTTTGAGTTATAAGGCGTAACAGTTTGTGATCGCTCATAGATTTGAGGCTGGTGTTCATCGAGTGCAGCGGATTCCTTTGACGGACAAGTCGCGAATGCATACCAGTACTGCAAGCGTTGCAGTGCTTCCTGAACCAGAAGAGGTACGCTCTTTATGCATCATCTTATAGGAGCCCCTAGGCGGATAGTGCTGTCTTGGATCAAAACGAATCAGCTTCCAAAGGAGGGGAAGTACTACTGGGAGTATTTGTGTATGACCATTCCCCCACCCTTTAATGTAGATCCACAGAATCTTCATTCTGGTCAGCCGTGTGGTTTGCTCTCTTTCAAAATTTGTTATGACTCCGCCTTTTTTGGAAGTCTCGGTGCGCCCCCACGAGCACCATTCTCCCTAGCCTCTTCTACCCTATCACCCTTCCACCCCATCACAATGACTGTCTCTATAGTACGTGATTCTGAGATCAGTTGACACACTCCAGCTACACCCATTTCTTATCACAAAACAGTTGTAAAAGGAGGGGTAAGCATGTCTCAAGAAAATGCCTTAGCTTTGTCGACGTCGCGCTTCTTTCTGAAATTTTTGCTAGACTTTTTTCCCAAAATATCCCGTCAAAAACGACCCCTCTCCCGCAAGGGGTCTCTACCATAACGCCTTCAACTTTCACAAATTCGACCCTCCTTTCGACCTTTTAACCTTTGACCAATCCCAAGTACGACTTTCTGCCAAAACTCGCAAATGTGACCCCCCCCCCCCCACCTTCTGGATTGGCCGAACTGCCGGTTGCACTTGATCTCCACATATGGTTGCTATCTGCCACTCCTACCTGCTCGTATGGAGGTCCCGGAATGTTTGGTATCTCACATTGTTTGGGGCCAGAACTTGGTTGTTCTATGAAAACGCTGACTAAAAGTAGTTGTTATTCGAAAGTGTTAGGCTCATTTCCGCTTCATGTGTTTCATTCAAGTGATACTAACCTTGAAATAACATTTCCATTTGCGCTTGATGGGGATTGATCAAGTCCATATAGGTTTCGGTTGTGGTGCCAGCTGACTCAGTGAAGATAGAAACGATGAGGGCGTCGGGACCTGGTGGACAGAACGTGAATAAACGGTCCACAGCAGTCCGAATCACGCATAAGGAAACAGGCATAGCCGTACATTGCATGGAAGAACGTTTTCAACATCTTAATCTACAGGCACAGTGGGTTTTGTGCTTTGGCACTGTAAATGAGGTGAGGCCTTGTTTTGCAGATCGCCTTCAAACGATTGGCAGCGATTATTATGCAACAAAAAGTAGATGAAATCAGTGAAAAGTCCACATCGGACCGGAAACTGCAGGTAAGGTCTAATTCGCTGCGTAATGAGCTTACTAAAGGTATTCGCTGCGTAATGAGCTTACTAAAGATGCGAATAATGGATGAATCATGAAACCACAGTCACTTTTCCATGAAATTTGACAAGGATGACACTTCAACTGTCAAGCTACTTGCGTAAGAGTAACTTGGAAGTTGATGAATACATCATCGTCCTTCTCTTCCAATCGTTAATCTCATGCCGACATAGAATCCGTTGCCTTTATTGGACGTTCTATCCAAGGCATCTTCTGGAAGTGCCCTGTAGCCTGCCTTTCCCTACCAATCGCAATCGTTCTTCACATTTTCATCTCAAGGAATCTTCTCGGAAAAATCGTGATTCTATTTCACCCATAATTCACTGGCTTGAGACCCATCGTTCACGATAAGAACGAAAAGAACAAAAAATTGCATTTGTTTTGGTAAAAAATTCGAAAAACCGAAAGGGCTGCTACGCGTTCAAAGTACCGCCGGACATCTGTCACAAATGCTGGCGACGGGAATGCTTCCACTTGGTAGAAACTGAATCTTCATGCGTGAAACTTTGTGTGCTGTTTCCAGTGATCACAACTGACATATTCATGTTAAGGAAAGAATGCAAGAATTTTCCGCGAAGGATTCCTTTAAGAGGGCAGTTTACACGACTGCCTCGACTCCTCATTTCTGACCCTGTCTTTTATTTCGAGTTGCTAACCCACTGGAGCATCCTTCCAGCGAAATGAAGCGGCCTTTTATAACCCTTGTATGCGTTCAACTACTTACTGCTGCAGAGCCACTAAACCCCACCTTTCAACACCGTAGAGCACTGTCGATCGCATATTGTACCAGTGGACACAGAACATACCAATCTACGGCATCCATGCCACATTTGTTCCAACCTACAGGGCTCATGCATCGAACTTTTTTTTAACGAATCCACTCAGCCCAACCGAATCCATCCCACGTAAGCCAATTCAGTGCAACAAGGAGGTAAGCAAACCAGCCCTTTTGGCGCTTCGGCTGGGACTGCGTATGCCGAATGTTGGGGAGGGGATGGGGTCCCCAACGGTCGACGGTTTACTTCAACTCGGTTGGTACGATAGGAGAGTACTGACGCATGTGGTAGCTCCGCCAGAAGGGCTGTTTTGCTCACCCCAGGACTAAGCCTTGGAGAGGGACGGACCGTCCTCTCTTTAAGGCTTAGTTCTGAGGTGAGCACCAAATTGTGGCGGTTCTAAGGACCGAGTTGAAGTGGTCCGTCCACCGTCGGGGACTCCATCCCCTCCCCAACATTCAGCATACGGTCCCAGCCGAAGCGCCAAAAGGGCTGGTTTGCTTACGCTTACATTCAATGGTAACAGCCTTGCTCGGAAGCACAAACACTGCACTATATCGGCTAACTTCCGCAAATATTGTGTAGGTTGAGTGCTTGTTTAAATGGTGCGACTCTGAGTGGGAATGGAATGCGTGGAACTTACCAAAGAGTGATCCCAGCAACTCGAGCGCTTTTGCAACCACGTCAGGATGTTACTATCGCTTTATTAGGCTATTTTGGCTTTTTATCAAGCTACTCTACTACTGCAATCCATCCTTCTGCATGGAGAAGTACGTCGACTAGGCCAGCTGATCAGTCCCACCACTTAAAACAAGCTGTATACCTGTACATACCGTGACTCGAGACGCTGAGTTTAGTTCTGCTTTCGTTATCTGTGGAACGATTCCTTGAAAGAAGTCATGACGCAATAAAGCGCAGCAGCAGTGACTCTGACTCACAGGCAAGAAGTCTTAGGTTTGACACCAATACATTTGCTCTTTTCAGAAACATAGCTAGAAGAACCTTTAACATATTTCTGAAAAGAGCATGGTACGGTCTAAGAAAAGGTGTAAAAAAGGCGAGGATAAGGATAAAGGATAAAGCATTTGCCGTTGATCAATCCCTTTTTGGGATGCGGCACGCATTCTACTTCCATTTGTACATTCGTAGTGGCGTTTGAATGCGATGTGGCCTATACAATGACTTGCGGGGGCCAGCCGATGTACAAGTCAGTGTTTTTATCCTCCCAGACAAGTCTGGTACCAATTAACCGACCCCGGAGGGATGGAAGGCTTGGTTGGCCCGGGCGACTCACGACCCAGGATTTGATCCCCGGACCGCTCGCGTGGTAAGCGTGCCACTTGCCACTACACCACTTCCGCCCAAAAAAGGTAGATCATAACAAATTGCGATAGATTCCACGAACTCTTGCCTGTGAGTAAGGGTCAATACCACTGCGTTTTCCTGCGCTATAACTCCTTTCAGAAAACCGTTCCGCAGATAACGAAGGCAGATTTGAACTCAGCATCTTGAGGTACATATACAGGTATAAATCTCTTTTTAAATGGCAGGAGTGACTGATCAACTTTTTCTTATAAGAAGGTACCATGAGCATTTTCCTCTTTTTTACATTTGTCTTTTTTCGATTTATCATCACTAGAAACTCGTGCTCCTGCACCGCCTGATTCACACTATAAGATAGGAATTATATTGCGTTGCGCCACGCATACTCCTCATATTCAAAATGTTCATGCATTTGAATAGAAGGTCAGCCTATTCAATGATTTGTTAGAAACAACCGATGTTGTGATTCGGTTAACTTTGCATGGTTTGCTACCATTTCATCTATGCCAGAAGAAGAATGAAACCGATACTGTTATACGTTTGTTCATGAATAGGAGAGAAGTGGTTTGAAAGCACTGCCAGAAGAAATTATTGAAGTTAATGATAATAGCTTTTCGTTGAATTTCACCTGTAGTTGTAGTCGATGATCGATTACCCTGTCATGTTGGAAATTGTAGGTTCGGATCTTCTCAGCACGAGCTTTTGAACCAACCTGAAAAGGGAATCTCAGAGATGTCCTTGCAATGCGGCGAGACCATCGCAACACTGACTTACGTCGTGCGGCGCCTCATTGCAAGAGAATAGCACACAGAAACGACGAAAAAAGAGCTTAGCACCGAAATATTATTGCTCTAAAATTGCAAACTGGGAAGGAGGAAATTTTGTAATAGGCCGGAACATACGGACAAGATGACGGTTCCTCTTCTCCAGCTCAGCTAGGGAGAAGATATCATTGTTCGTTAGTCAAACACGAACATGCTTCCTCCGCCTCTGCACAAAACCAAAGTGCTTCATCTACTTTTTTTCAATTTTCAAACCGCATTAACGATACCATCGTTGATGCGGGCCGATACGGCCAAGTACTAGGGTTTCTTAATTTATTTAAAGCTAATTATTCGAAGGCAGCACCAGAAAGCATTCTTACTGAAGCAGAAAAAAGGGTTTTTTACCCTACTCAAGCCGCTCACAACTAGCGCTCCAACACTACCTGCAAGGGCCCATAAGAAATTATGACCACTTATTCCTTGAGGCCGAGCAGGAAAAATTTTTTAGTTCTTCTCAAAACTCCCAATAGGCTACTATGTATTGGGCCGTTCCATAAGTAGTGCTTTTATTCAAAAAAAAAATTCTGCTTAAAGTCAATTTTTTATATCAATTTATGTACCTACCATTCGAAAGAGAATTGTCTGCTCTCCAAGAAACTTGGTTTGTCATACACATTCGTTTTAGAGTTTTTGATTTTTATGCCTGCGAAATGGGAGGTTCAGCGGAAGAAAGTCAACCAAACCGACAAATAGCTTCAACTCTATTTTCCCTTATGAGAAATCCACTGTTGATGTATGCCCTCTACTTATTCATAACCTCTCTTAAACATTCCGCTATTAAGATGTTGAGAAAGCGTTAATGTGTTTTTTTACGAATTTGGTTTTTCTGGTTGACCGATAAGCCACAGCGCATTTTTTGATGAAAGTCGTCACACGGATGAAACACTATTGTTTTATAGTCAAAGTGGTGCCATTAATCTTTATCTGCCTATTCGCTATATGGTTGTTATTAATTCGCATTGGCATTGCATTTGGTCGGGGCCTCTCCGTGTTTAAAATGGGCGGTGGACTGGAGCGCGGGGAGGCATTCTCTAGGGCTAAATGAATGGTGAACATGCCATCTTGTTTCACTTTTCGGTCCTCTTACTTTGAAGCTATCGCAATATCGAAGCGATACGAAGCAGGGATATTGCAATATATTAGAGGGTGCTGCTAGCTCGCCATATGGAATGGTCCTTACCAGGAAGGTCTTTCAGGGCGTGACAAGCTTTTTGAAAACGGTCTTTTGCATGATATAGGGGCAGATGCGGGAACCACAGAACCATGTTCAATTTTTCCTGAACGGCCCTCTGAATACCAGAAAAGGAGGTCCCTAGTTCGATTCCTCGTGGTAACAAATTTTTGCATTTCGAGTTGACGTGCCAAAATTCGCGCAAAATGGAGAGTTAGAACCAACCAGAACAATCAGAACTCCATTTTGCGCGAATTTTGGAACGTCAACTCGAAATGCAAAAATTTGTCACCAAGAGGAATCGAACTAGGGACCCCCTTTTCTGGTATTCAGAGGCCGTTCAGGAAAAATTAAACATGGTTCTGTGGTCCCCGCATCTGCCCCTATATCATGCAAAAGACCGTTTTCAAAAAGCTCGTCACGCCCTGAAAGACCTTCCTGGTTAGTTTCAGTAACGCATAATCAACAAACAAAACACCAACTCGGGTCAGTCAACTATCACTACAAATAACTAAACTACTTACACATCTGAAAGCATTCAAAACGAGCGTTTGAGGGATTACGCTATCTAACTCCATTTACTACAATCTCAGAGTAGTTAGGAATAACTGCTTACTCGACATGCGTAAAAATTACCCCACACACACCTCCATGCGCACTAGCATTCTCTAATAACCCTGAGGGTCTTGTGGCTTCTTTCACAAAATGCTCAAGGTTGCTTCGTCTTTTAACTAAACAAGGCGATTGAGCTCTCGAACGAGACTGTGTAAGTCTTAAAGAATGGGAAGCTTTCCTAGCGGAGAGAAAGGTGAACCTCTTAAGGGTGCAGATTCACGCAACCCGCCGCCGATCTAGCATGGCTTCTCCTTAGTGAATTGGCGCCATTAGGACGATATACTCCCACCCCCACCCACGCGTATTCTCGTGTATTAGTGTCTAGCCGTTCAGTAGAGAGAGCGTAAGCGTTGGAGAGGGCACCACCGATGAGAGTCGGATCAGTGCGCAAATCAACGTTCAAACAAAAGCGAACCTGTATTTTCTCGAAGCTTCCGTGAAGCCGTTTCCGACTTTTTTTTCTTTCGCGCATCAGTAACCATCTTCAACATAATTTCCAATGGGCTGCCTCATCACCGTGAAATCCGATTTCATAGCAGTAGTTGAGTCGCGAGCGTTGCAGAGACTCCCTCCCCGCATTCATTTCGAGGATGAAAAGTGGTTTGAGAAAACTCTCCAAAAAGCGGACTGTGATGCCTCAAGGTGTGCTCGCAGAGGCCTGGGGGAAGCTGGACATTCGAAAAACCGAGAACGCGATATTCTAAAGAATTTTTCGAAAGGAATCTCTTCCAAGGAATAGCGTGCGGCTCATAAGAGTCAAAACCGCAATTGCGCTGTAGACCACGTGCGTTTATGATAGCAAAAAAATAAGTGCGACCCATGTCCTTTTCATAGAGAAAGACACGAACCTTTTTTACATTTCATCTGATAACATTTTTCATCCTAGGTACAGTCGAGATCCGTAAGTTGGGGTAGGCGTGTCACCGGAAGTGACGTGGACTTGATAGAGGTTGCGTAGGTAAGTCGCTGCCAGCATGCTTTGCTGATATCTCGCGATATATATTGGAAGCACCTTATCCACATAGATTCTATCAAGTACACGTCACTTCCGGTGACACGCCTACCCCAACTTACGGATCTCGAGTGTACATGCTCATTCACTTCTATAAGAATTCATTAAGAGATTAATTAAGAGACGAGCTCAAAAGAAATCTATTTCTGGACACGGTTAGAAAACAAGGCCATCACAAGAAAGCGGAACTAGCAATCAGTACGCAGACAACCATGAATGTGTTTAATTCTGGGCGTTCTTCGAGTCACCCTGCTCATTAGACACTATTGAAGTTAATAACAATCCCGTCACTTATTTTGAAAAAAAGTCAGTTAGTTCGATCGAAGATGTTGATGCGACCACTGAGAGAAGGGACTTGCAAATGACGAACGTGAACAGAAAAAAACGGCAACGTTCGCGATAAACCACTGGAATGACGACCAGTCATAGGAGACAGTCCCCGCCCATACCTAGAGCATGTTCTGCCAGTTTAGTATTTACTATGTACATATGTAGGTGTCAGTCACTAAACCAATTCCATTCTTTCAAGA